GAAACTCGAATCAAACACCTATAGTAAGCTCGCCGAGTTCATTGGCGATATGACGAAAATCTTTGATAACTGCCGCTATTATAATCCCAAGGAGTCCTCATTCTACAAGTGCGCCGAGGCACTTGAGTCGTTCTTTGTACAAAAAATCAAGAGTTTTCGAGAAAATGTTGTTGGTCAAGGCAATTAAAAGTCATTTGATTGTTCAAACAATTGCAACAAAGGCTACAATGGATTGAGTTGGGTTTAACACAACCAAAAGCAAACACAAAAAACAAATTATGATTTTAGGTAAAAATATAATAATAAATACTTTTACTAAAATTAAATTAAAATATACGTAGAGGTTAGCCTGCGCTAATATACACATTTAATTTTAAATACATATATATAGTAATATATATATATACCATATATAAGTATAAAAGTAACTGAAGCTAATCTATAAGTAGCTGTATTCTTTTATCATCTATAAATTTAATATGAATTTCGTAATTAATTTCAAGTACTTTAAGAGTTGAATTTTATGTGAAGAACCAGAGCAGCAATCTACGTAGTTTTACCTAATGTACAGCCAAATATGAGATGTAAATAAATAATAAACATACACACACACACACACACGCATTTGTTTTGATACATATGTATGTACTAAGTATAACAATCTACAATATACGTGTAGCATATGGTATATATATAAGATTTAATGGATTTATCACTATATTGCCCAAATTTGTGAACGCGTAAGGCGAACTTGTATCACTGTAGGAGCAATTGTATTATATTTGTAAATAAAAAGAGATCCAAGTAAACTCAAGTTATGGCTTATGATATGGAATATATGAAATATATCAAAATTAGAGAACAAATAAAGGCCTAAGGATTTGGCGATTAAAGGTCAAGATAGAAAGATGCATACATACCTGTATATGCGTTGTATATAGATACATATATCTGTATAAGTATTGGAAACTATAATTGAAACGTCAGCTCATTTTTCGGTTATCTCCAAGCCGGTTACGCCCGACTAGAGTCCACTTAATTGTTTTTTAGTTTTGTCATCCTCGAAGTTTTACAAATCATTAAGAGAGAGTTAAATAAGTTATAAATTAATGTATGGCAAAAAATATTAATCCAACAACTGATTCTTTTGTTTTGCATCGCATCGAGCGTTAATTTGCATTTGGCTTTTCGTGCAGCCACGGACGGAATATGGGCAATGTCGAAGGATAATGTGTGTCCGGCTTTAGGACGGATTCGGGCCAAGTGTTGGACACATCATTGGCATTATTGCGGAACGGATATGTGGCCAAGACGATTGGCAGTTGCAATTTGATTTCCTTTTCCAGCGACTTCGGCTCGATGACGAAGAAGACGTCGTATGTGATTTTGATCAGATGGCAGCCATGCAGATTCGTTGGTGGCAACGGCGGCACATAGAGGCTATCATTGTGCCATTCGTCCTTGCCGCCAGGACGTATCTTGCCACGCACCAGCACGGCCAGAGCGCGCTTCTCCGTCTGAACTGTCTTGCCGCGTGCCAAGTACTCAATGGTCTATAAGGCAGTATTGAATTAGCTTGGAGCGAACTTTAAATTATCCTCAACTTACCTCAGTTAGTGATGCCTTGGTTCGTTTTATGGTTACATTGCTAGCATTGGATATGAAGGCTGTGACGAGTATATTCTCACCGGGCACATAGCCTCCGCGATCCAAGACCACGCGGCATTTGATCTGACCACCGCCCACACAGGCAACCACGCCCAGTTTGTGTTCCACCTCGCAAGTGAAGGGTTGCTGTTGGGGAATTTGAAGCAAAGATTAGCTTAGCTTTTCTGGCGTTCCGATATATTTACCGATAGTATTGGTTTCTCCAGGTTCAAGTCAATGGGATTCATAACAATAAAAACTTGATGGTTCTTGTGTGTCAGACCTTTGGGCTCACGCAAGGCTGCAGTGCAATAATATTGTATCCAGCCGAAGCTGCCCAGGAATGTGGAGGGCAGGCCAATGGGCAGCCCCAACTTGAAGGGAAAACTATGTATGCCAGGCGATAGTATCGCAGGACCCTGATCCACATCGCCCAGCAAACGCATGCGAAAATCTATGTAATTCTCTTTGTCGTAAGTGCGTTCCTGTCGCCCCCCAGCACGCACCACGCCCTCACCCACCACATGGAAATGCAGACCCAGAGCTGGAGTCTCATCTTGTAGTTCTATGAGCACGCGTCCCGATAGAAACTGACCCGGAAAGTACAGCAGCGACGAATTATCGAATATAATGAGAAATTTCAGTAATTTTCGAGGCATATTTCGGCAGCTTCAATAGTTCAGAGAAACGTTTACGACCTTGAAATACCTGTTGTATGTAGGTAGAGAAAAAAACATTGAATTAGCATTGTTTAGTAAAAGCTTAAGGGGTTTTTTTTTTTTTTTTTTTTTAGATATATATGTATCTAATGAACTCATTGTGTCTGAGAGAAATTTCGAATTAGTTTTATAATTGCCATTAAATGATGCAAAAAATCAACGCAATTAAAGCTTTTCCCTTTTTAAATGTCGCTGCAAATTGTGCTTCATTATACACACACACACACACTCACACATACCCACACGCGGCATATACTTATATATGTACATATATATACATATTTTCGTTTGAACAATCCGCTTGTGGCTTTATAAACGTGGGTGCAACGACAAAATGCTTATATACTCGCACAACATCCGAATCCACTCATATACTCATTGACGTTTTGTTTGAATACCTCTCGTACCTAGCTTCGTACGTTGCGCTATTTATTGCTTTATGTATTTTTCTTGTTCGTTTATATTTTTTTTATTGCTAGTGCTGCTGCTGCTTCTTCTTCTTTATTTTTAAACTATCTCAGCTGCGCAAGCGCTTTGGGCCCGCTCCAACAAGTTAACAGCGCGCACACTGACGATTGTTTAACAACTAAAGCTGTTACGATTTTCAGCTAGCTTAGTCGACTCGGCTTCAATTCTAGAGATGACACAGAGGTTCGTGTTTACACAAGCGAACAGTGGAAGCTAATGACGTAGGTTGGACGACCTTTAGTCAAAGTAGATGGTAAGCAAATATATGAAACTACAAACCAACTACGCCTTTTATTTCCTAAAATATGTACAAACGAAATAGAAATGTAAAATATATGTAAATGATTATTGATGATACGTACATGCAGAAAGTTAATTATATTATTATTATACTCAACAATTTTTGGAAAATGAATTAAAAATAAAATTAAAATTATAGTTACTATATATTGAAATAGCTTTGTTTTTATTGTATAAATATGTATTTAATAAGCAAGCATTTTGCTACTACGTGATTTACCAGAGCTTAAATATCTTTCATTTGCACATCTCTATTCAAGCTCTCTTCTAACTACACACATTCAGGCTTATATATGCCTGTTGCGTTGACGCTGAGTCAAAATACAGGTTTTCAATGCTCAGAGCGTGTGAGAGAGCAGAGAGCAGAGGTGAAATACGCTTGACTCTAACAGCGTAAGCTAGTTGCACTCAGCGTGGTGAATCAAGAGGTGAATATAAGGCAAGATTCAAATTATTAGGCTACTATGATCAGTGTATAAAAGAGCTTTATATTTTATAATACAATGTTTATTTTTGAACATAAATAAATGTAATATATTTTTAAATAA